GCCCCGCCCCCACCCCTCCTCCATCTCCTCCCTCCGCTCCCCTTCCCTTCCGTCCCCTCCTCCTGGGACCCCGGCTGCCAAGGCTGCCGGACCCGCCGCGGTGCTGGCCGGGGGCCTCCTCACACCCCCGCCTTCTACCCTTGCCCCTGTCCTGGTAGCTTGAGACCTTCTGATTTCAGAGCCTGGACACCACGTCGGAGTCCCTCCCATCTGTCCCTGCCCAGAAGAGTTTTCTACACTCGCTGTCACAGTCTAACTTCCTGCCCACGCGCGTGTCCCGGACCCAGGAACCTAGGCGTCCAAACAGCACAGACCCCCGCCTCCCTCCCACGGCTCTGACCGCGCTGGCAGCTCCCCATAGTTCCCCCTCTTTCTCCGAGCTCCGAGTTTTCCTGCCACTTCCCTGGCCATTCCTCCTGTCCTTGGCCAGCCCATCGCCCCCCACCCGTGCCTCGGTTCTGCACCCCCTTCCATAACTATGTTATGGGTTACTACTCAGCGAGAAAAACGAATGAGAAACACAACACTATGCATACATTTTGCAGGTATTGTGTTGAATAAAGGCAGACTCAAAATGCACATACTATATGGTTCCGTTTTATGAAATTCTAGAACAGGCAAAACTAAGGTGTGGTTACAGAAATCGAATCAGTGGTTGCCTGGGGTCGGGGCAAGAGAAAACTTCCTCCAGTTCAGGAAAAGTTCTTCATTTTGACTGGGATGGTGCTTACATAGGGACATACATTTGTCAAAAGACATCAAATCGTACACTTAAAGTGGGTACATTTCATTTCATGTAAATTCTATCTCAATTTACAAATAGGATACTGAGAAAAAGCAAAATATGACTGGACTAAAGAGCTGAGAAAGGAGAACCGGATGGGTGCCTGTCCCGAGTGGGTCATTGTACATCCAACCAGCAGGCTGCGAGCTCTCTGGGGGCCTGTCATAGCACAGCCCCAGCCCAGAGGCTGCCACATGTGATAATGTCAGGAAGTATCTGCTATGGAATTCACGAGGGGTAGCTCTATTACCTTTACATGACTTGTATAAAGATTTCCCCTTCTCCTTCATTTATTTATTTTATTGTGTTATAATTAAATACTATCGTACTTAATTTTGTTGGTTCGGTTGTTCCACATTTGGCCATGAGGACTCTTCGGTAGGTACTTCATTGGGTACACAAGTGTGTACCTAACACGCCCATCTTCTTCCCGCCCACTCACTTCCTTACTTTCTGACACTATATGAGGCTTCAAGTTCATTCTGTGTTCTCCCCTTCCCAGCCCTAGAATCAAGAAACTCCGGTTCTTTTTATTGGAGAATGGTATTTAAAATCAAGATCTCTCTGGGTAGTTTGCATTAGAGAATTTGCATTTCCCTACTCAAGAGTGGCTCAAGCATTTTTTCACCTGTGTAAGAGCCATTTGCATTTCCTTTTCTGAGAACTGACTGTTCACACCCTTTGTATATTTTTCTGTTGAACTGTTGGTCTTTAAAAATTGATAATGTAAGAATGCATATGTTCAGTAAATTAGACCTTTTCCTGAAATGTGTATTATGAATTTTTTTTCCTGGTTTGTCATTTGTCTTTTACTTTGTGTTTTTGCCATACAGATTTTTTTTTAGAACCTGCTGTTTTTCTGGTTGAATCTGTACATGTAGTGAATACAGTAACAGTTCTCCTAATGCTCATCGTCCGCATTTGTGAGATGTGGCTTACTTGGTCATGGTCTATTGTTCTTTTGAGAAACGTCTGGATTTGTTTTGCTTGTATTTTCTTTGGGATTTTTGCTTTTATTTTCATAATTAGAATTGTCCTCTGGCTTTTGTTTCACTTCTACCTATTATTTTCTGCCTCTACCTTTAATTCCTTCTCCTTACATTCTTGGTGTTTTTTTTTTTTTTTTTTTTTGTCTTTTTTCCCTGTCCAGCAACGGATCGCAACCCTCAGTGTCGCCCCCGTACCGGGACTGGGGACCAGCAACGGCATCGCAGCCCTAGGTGTTGCTCCCGCGCCTCGCTCAGCCAGCGAGCAGGAACCGGTCTGTATGTGGGATCCGAACCCTCGGCAGGAGCGCCGCCGTGCTTCCCAAGCGGCGCACTATAGCAGTGTGCCACCGGGCCGGCCCTTCTTGGTGTTCATTTTGTTGATTGATTTTTCTCCCCTAACTTGTAGCTGTGAATGCATTATTTATTTTTAAGTCTTTCTTATTTCCCAATAAAGGCATTTAAAGGTATGCAACTTTCTTTGAGTACCGTTTTGGAAATATCTCTAATATATTGCTGTAGGTTTTATCCATTTCTAATTAGCTTGTAATTTCCTCTTTAATCCAAGAGTAATTTTTAAAGGTTTTAAAAATTTTTTAAGGAGATAAGTTATTGATTATACTTTTGTGGTTAATTTCTAATTTTTTCTGTTTTTTGGAATTTGTTGAAATTTTCTTTGTGTCCTAAGAGAGTTGATTTTTGTAAATGTTCCATGTGTGTTTAAAAAGACTGAAAATTCTCTTAGTTGGGGACAAAGCTTATCTATATTTCTATTATATATTTGATTAATTGTGTGATTTAAATCCTCTGTATACTTATCCTTTTTTTTACTTGAAGTATTGAATTATTAAAATAGGTATGTTAAAGCTGATCACTATGATTTTAGATTTATCACTCTGTCTTTGCACTTCTTTTTTTTCCTTTTTTAAAGATGACCAGTGTAGAGCTAGAGCTGGAGTCGGGAGTACACAAACCCCTCGAGCCTGTTCACAAACCCTTAACACGCAGGTCTATGAGCTAGGTAACCAGCAAAAATTTCCTTGGAGCCTTGGATGAAGAAGGAATAGTCTTTATTCAGCACACGCATGTGTAGGAGCTAGGCGGTACAAACGGAAACTCAGAAACTCAATGGCTACCTGCAAAGTCCAAAGAAAAACTGAAACTGAGCAGCTGACAGCAGAGCAAACATGCTCTATTGTTAGACATGAGCTCTCTGCCACCAGCCTGCTTCACAAACTGCAGAACACACAATAGCTACAAAACTAAAAAGATACATTGGCGCACATGCACATCAACTCCATTCACACACAACTTGTTTACAAGAAATGTGCTGCTGGACCCCCTAGCCAGACCTGAGCCCAGGGAGTCTGACTAAATTATTCCATTTTCCCCACAATCGGTAAGGGGATCTTAACACTTGACTTGGTGGTGTCAGCACCATGCTCTCCCAAGTGAGCCACGGGCCAGCCCCTTGTCCTTGCATTTCTAATATGTGGTGGAGGTTGTATATTTTTTAAGCTACCATGTTAGATGAACAAAAGTTAATGTATCTTTTATTTAGTAGAGTATAGCAATTAAGAGCACAAGCTCTGGGTTCAAATCCTGATTATACCACTATCTTAATTTCTTTGTCCTCAGTTTCTTCATCCACAAAATGAGGATAATAATATTACCTAACTCATATAACTATTGTAAAGATTAAATGAATTAGTATATATCAATATCTTAAAATAGTGCCTGGCATATAGTGGGTTTTCAAAACTATTAGCTTAATGAAACATCTCTCTTTTTCCTATTGAATACTTTTATCCTTGAATTGTATTTCATTTTATATTAATCTCACCACCTTGCTTTCTTTTTATTGGCATTTATTTAGAATATCTTGTTTGTGCTTTTCTAACGTAAGCATTTAATGCTATAAATATCTCTCTAAACAGTATTTTAGTTTCAGCTAGTAAATTTTGATATGTTGCATTTTCATTTTTACTCACTTCAAAATATTTTGTAATTTCCCTTGAGGCTTTCTCTTTGAACTATGGACTATTTAGAAGTGTGTTTAATTTCTAAACATTTAGAAATTTTCCAGTTATTTTTCTGTTATTAATTTCCAGTTTAATTCCAATATGGTCAGAGAACACACTTTGTGTGATTTTAATTCTTTTAAATTTATTAAGGCTTGTTTTATGATCCAGGATATGGTCCATCTTGGTGAATGCTCTATGTGCACTTGGAAATAAAGTATATTTGTTGAGTGAACCATTACATAAATGCCAATTAGATCCAGTTGATTGGTGGTGGTGTTTAGCTCTTCTGTATCCTTGCTGATTTACTGTGCACCTGCTCTATTAATTACTGAGAGAGAAAAGTTGGAGTCTCTGACAATTGTGGAGTTGTCCACTTATCTTTTCAGTTCTATCAGCTTTTGCTTTATGCATTTTGAGGTTC